AAGTTTATTTTTCTGACTTTCTAACCTCCCTATCTCTCACTCCTCCCTCACACACTCTCTCTCCCTCTCTCTCTCTCTCTCACTGATTATAATGTAGGTTTCTTTGTCTGAATCTCTCTTACTCTCTCTCTCTCTCTCTCTCTCTCTCTCTCTCTCTCTGCGAGTCGTTAAGCACAAAACAAAAACTTTTAATAAGCGACTCTCAGTAAAAGGTGGAATAACTTTTTCTCGAATCCCTCTACACATAAAAGTATGTAAAAATATTAACGATTTCCAGAATAGTCTTAAAAATCACCTCTTATGAAGCTATGATAGATGCTAAAAGTACAATTTAACATTTTTTATTACTATTTAATGACTAGAACTGTTATTTCTAGATTTATATTGATAATTTATAATTCATGATTTGTGCTGAATTGTATTGAAAAAGTATTTTTGTTCTCTTAGTACATTAGCAATTTACTTTTTAATTGCTGAATTATTCTGTAAACTAGAATAATTATATCAATGGGCAATTTGAAGTACATACATACGTAGTTCAATGTAAAACGAATAGATATAACATACTAACCACAAAATCAGGTTATTAGAAGTAATTAATGTGTAATGTCTTAGAAGTAAGTTAAACTTAGTAACCATTGTATTTCACATTAGATGTAAGACTGGTCATTGAGGTCAAATCTTGTTTAAGTGATAAATAAAGCGTTCATCATCGTTTGTATGTTTATTTGTCTGACTTTCTCACACTTCTCTCCTCAACCTCCGTATTTATCTCCTTCTATCTATCTACCTATCTAACTACATCCATACATGCCTATCTATCAGTCAGTTTATCTATTTAATAATTTGTTCTAAAAACTATCAGTCTGTCTACTGTCCATCTATCTAATATGTATGAATTTTTTTTCAATTAGAATTAGAAACAATTTCGCTGAAGGCCTATAAAGTTTTGAAAACGAGAAAATAAGAATAGCTTTAGTAGATCGCGATCATATTATTTCCTCATTTTCCTTTGTACAGTTAGGAGTCACGAATTTGTTGACGGTATTAATAATCTATAATTTACAATTAAATTGAAATATTCAATGCCTAATAATTCTGCCAGTCCTTAAGATCGATACGTGTGCCTCATTCGTAATTTTTTTTATTTCTTTTTTTTGGGCGAGCGCTGAAGAAGTGTGAAGAACCACCAATGACGTTCTTCCCCCTTTTGAAGAATTCTAATAACGCCCAGCATTCCCCCCGAGTGCGAGTCGTCTCAGGTCAAGTCTCACAATTAAGTAGAAGCATTTTCCGAGGTGAATTTGTCAACCCCTTTGATACCCCTAACGACGGAAACTATTAATACCATTAGTTACCATCGGCTATGATCTATGGTTGAAACCAATTTTCAACCAAAATGGAAGAAAGATTATATAACATGTTAATAAAATTCACAATTAGTATCACCTTCACTAGTTTTCGTGGTCCCCTTGACCAATTTTTAGTTCGACTAGGCACGACTCTAGCTGAAGATCGTGGGTTCGAATCCCGCTCGTGACACTGACTTTTTTACCTCAACTAAAAACTTTGATTAATTAGTATCAACATTATTGGATTTGGATATTTAATCGTTTTATTGTATTATTTATTAAATAAATTTGGTTCATAGCATTGTATATATTGGGTGTTTCACATGAAATGTCCGAATTTATAGTTTCAGAAATTCAGAGATGATATAGCGGTTTTCGTTTACTTCCAATTGTTTACATATTATAATTAAGCAGTTATTAATCCTCCACTTTTGTTTATAATGATGAGCTACCCCAATCCATTACACACTTTTTAGTATACCTCCAAATATGAACATGGGAACACGCGATTTTCATTTAATATTCCTTTACGCGTTTAAACTCGGTCATTTGGCAGCTGAGGCTGCAAGAAACATCAGTAAGGCGTTTGTGGAAGGGGGGTAAATGACTATTCGTCGTTGGTTTGCTAAGTTTTCGGAAGGGAATACCGAATCGGAAAACGAGCTCCGCGGAAGAACTCTAATTTCAATTGACAAAGATGTCCTTCAACTTCAGGTGGTGCAGCTCAGAGAACAGTCAGAGGACACGCAGCACAAATAAATCCAAGTGCAGCTACCGTGTCAATGCAATTAACGAACATGGGAAAAGTTAAAAAGCATGATCTACGGGTCCCTCATAAGTTCACAGCGACAGCAGTTGCCTTGGGGCATGCGTTTTGTGGTTTTCCAGGCAAAATACCAAGCCTTTTCTTGAAAGAATAATCACTCGCGATGAAAAATTGATTGCATATGACAATCAGCGTCGGTCAGTGCAGTGATTAAACATCGACGAAAGACACATGCGACAACCAAATTTACACTCCAAAAAATTGATGGTGGCCGCATGGTGGTCCACGGGTGGAATTATTCACTACTCATTTTTGCCTAGAGGTGCCTCCTATTACCTCTACATCGTACTGCAAGGAAATTGAAGAAATGTGTAAAAAATTACTCAAAAACAACCTGTATTGGTAAATCGGAATGGTCCTATACTCCTCCACGACAACGCCAGGCCTCATGTTTCGAAACACACCGTAATCAAATTGAAAGGGCTTGGCTACGAATTTTCACCTGTTTAAAATTTGGACAACTTCATCAAAGGAAAAATTTTAAAAATTATGTTCAAACCCAAAAAGCGTTTTCAGATTTTGTTTAATTTCAAAGCTCAGAATTCTTTAGTTCCGGCATAAAAAAGTTGGTCTCGTTGGGAAAAATGTGTAGAAAATGAAAGTAAATACTTCGAATAAAATGATTCGAAGTATTTACAAAGTTTTTTGGACGGTTTACTTGTTGTAGCTTGTTTGACGGTGGTTTTTTTCTACGAGAACTGACCAATAAGGTGCCCAGATAAAATAATCGTAAAAATTGATACAGAGGATAATTCGAACACCTTAGGAATTCATATGTGTTATCTTATTTATAAAAGTTTATCACCAGGTCGTAAAGTTGGTTAAAGGCTTATTTCCTTTCTGACCCCTGTCGAAACCAAACAATTCTACATTCAATATTATTTGAAAACAAATTGTGAAGGTGCTAATTCAAAACAGTCATTCGTTTCCTAAATGATACATTATTTTTTATGTTATAAATAAAATAATGGTTTATTTGTCAAAGCTGCTATCAGTCCTGCACTAAAAGGAAATTTATTCCTACTTGTGAATTGAGCCTTATTTCCCATTTGGGATCTGTCGAAACCCCAAAATCCTTAATTCAAAGGTGAACGCTTCAAATTAGATCGGGGAAAATGATTTTCAAAAGATAATCCGCAGATCAAAATATGAACTAATTGAGTGAGAAAAGGCAATTAGAACTGGCGAAACTTGACGGGCAACAGCACTCCAGCCAACTATCTTGGAGTGGCGATGTAATTATCGCCCGCTCTCGACGTCACGAGCAAAAGGCCATCGTTTTTCAAAGGAGTTGCCGTCCTGGGCCAGGTACTCATTCGGAGGCGCAATTACACGGATCTCCGTTGAATGGGGCCAATTCCGAGATGTCATCTCGAGAACTGCGGTTCAAAATTCAATTCTGTTCCTCTCCTTCGAGCATTTACAGACATCCCACGCCCACCGGTTAGGCGTATCATATTAATTTCGGCCTATCATAACCGTTCTTGATATGCGAATGTACTGAAAAATGGCTTTAGTAAGACCTCGACCGAAATGCCTGGGGGCAGCGGGTAAATAATTAAACCGGCTTCGAGTATGATTCGAAAAATTTGCCTGAATATTAGAGGAAAACGTTTTACTAAGTCGAATGATTTATAAATTATTTTATTCCTCTAAATGATTGTTAATTTATCTTCAAATCAAATATTGAAAAAACTTATATTCTCCCTTTTGATTGAAATTGGATTGAGTACAAATTGTAGTTCGGTCGATTCTACTCATTTTGCTCTACCTACCCTCGTTGCTTTGGTCTGTCAGACGCGCTTCGGCTTCTCGTTGTGATCAGAGTGAGCCGTGATATCTTCTGTGGTGAGCCAGAGCCAGTGAGCTAATTAGACCTAATTGGAAGTTTAATATGTTCAAAATAGACCTCGAGTTCATCCATTCTTATTGTACGATTAAAATCATAAAGACTGTCCGTATGTACAGTGTGTGTGTTTGTGTGAGAGCTAAGCCTGAATATTTTTCATAATGATTTCAACTAGTCCAATGAAATAATTAACCGCTTAAAACTTCCATTAAGTCCTTACATTGAAAGAGATTCAATGATTACTCAAGTTCTATTTTTCGATATCAACATGTCCAGTTACACTTCAGCGATGGTCCGATAGGCGTAAGTGCAGCACCTAATCAACTTGAGATGGGGAGTTGATGTACGAGTGGATCGAGGTCACGATAGCTCAGGTGGTAGAGCAGCGGCGTATCAAGCCGAAGGTCGTGGGTTCGAATCCCTCTCGTGCCATTGACTTTTTTTCATCTCAACTAAAAACCTTAATTAATTGTAATGTATTAATTGGTCAAGCGGACCACGAAATTAGTGAATCTAAAAAGTAAAGTAAAGTCATTCCATGACAGGAAAGTTAAAGTCCAACTACCCATTGGGCGTCGCGACCGAGTGTCAAAACCACTTTACAATGTTTGTTTCCAAATTATTTTCAAATAATAGTTATAAGGCTAAACCGATTTGGCCTAAGGTATGAAACTATAGAGGTAGCAATCTTTTCAATATATCCAACATTTCTAATCCTTCCCGTCCAAAAGATCAAAATCAACAGTAAATATTCTGTATTATGTTTCGAAAACTCCAAAGGGGCAGTAATATCCCGTTAATCCAAAAATTAATTAACACCCCTTACATCCTGTTAATGTCTTGTCCAACGGACGACTTCCTTGCTGTAGAATAAACATCGATTATTGGAATTGTACTTTTCCAAAACTCTATGGTGGGCATGAGATAAGAAGTAACTAAAATCAGTACTATCATACCCTTGCTCAAACTTTAGATGGATACAGAAGAGTTCAGGCGGAGGGGAAAAGAGATGATAGACTACATCTGCGAGTACAACAAAACCCTCGGACAAAGGAGGGTCACGCCCAGCGTAGAGCCCGGATACCTCAAACCGCTTCTTCCGGATGAAGCGCCAGAATCGCCCGAAGGATGGGAAACGATAATGAAAGACGTCGAGAAGTACATAATGCCTGGGGTAAGCCTTGTAAAAACTAGGTCTATTTTAAAAAACCTAATCCTTTATTGTTTAGGTGACTCATTGGCAGCATCCGCAGTTCCATGCTTATTTTCCGGCTGGTGCTTCCTACCCGTCAATCCTAGGAGGAATACTGTCCGATGGTATCGGATGTATAGGCTTCTCCTGGGTAACTTTCAGCTAATATATACAGATAGACAGGGTATTCCGCTACTCGTGTTACAAACTTTGCCAGCAGATTCCACATTCAAAAAGGAACCAAAAAGTCCTATTTAACTTTGGTCCGAATCTCACCAGTTTAGGAGTTATTTCACTTTTTATGATTTTTTTAAGATTTCACGACCTTGTTTCAAATAAACCATGATAATTCCAATTGATTTTAAACTACTATTTCCAAACCTAGAGACCAGCAAAATTTCAGAAAACTTACTCCATTTAATATCATTTTTAGTGATATAATTGCTTTTTTAATTATTTTAAAAGTCCTAATTAACTTATGGTCCGAATCTCACCAGTTTAGGAATTATTTCACTTTTTCTGATTTTTTAAGATTTCACGACCTTGCGTCAAATAAACAATGATAACTCCAAAACTAAAGTGTTTTGGACAAATCTGTTAATACCAATAAAAACTATGTTAAATTTCCAATGAGATGTGATCAATACTAAACTTGTAAACCTTAGTGAAATAAGTGTTTTAGTAGCGAGAACATAGAAATTTTTTTTTTTCAAAGTTGAAAAACTTACTATGGTGATACTAAACTACTATTTCCAAACCTACAGAACAGCAAATTTCAGAAAACGTACTCCATTTAATATCCTTTTTAGTTGTGCAATTGCTTTTTTTTATTACTTTTTTCAAAGATGAATAAATTGATGAAGGAAAAATAAAAACCGTGGATAAAGGATTGGTAAGGTCGAAATTTTTTTTTTAAGTTTAATAAATTCCTTCAAGATTTCTTTTTTTTTATTATTATTTTTTTTTTTTTAATTTCCACCTTAACAATCCGTCAGCCACGGTTTTTTCCTTTCATCCATCAATTTCTTAATATTTAAAAAAGTAATTAAAAAAGCAATTATACCACTAAAAAGGACTTTTTTTCAAAGATGAATATATTGATGAAGGAAAAATAAAAACCGTGGTTAAAGGATTGGTAAGGTCGAAAAATTTTTTAAAAAAAGTTTAATAAGTTCCTTCAAAATTTCCTTTTTTTCTTTTTTTTTAATTTTCCACCTTACCAATCCGTCAGCCACGGTTTTTTATTTTCATCCATCAATTTCTTCATCTTTAAAAAGTAATTAAAAAAGCAATTATACCACTAAAAAGGATAATAAATGGAGTACGTTTTCTGAAATTTTGCTGGTCTGTAGGTTTGGAAATAGTAGTTTAAAATCACCATAGTAAGTTTTTCAACTTTGAAAAATAATTTTTTTTCAAAGTTCTCGCTACTAAAAGTTTTAAAAGTACTACGTTTAGAATTTAGTATTGATGACACCTTATTGGAAATTTACCGCAGTTTTCAATGGTATCAACGGATTTGTCGAAAACCTTTCAGTTTCGGAGTTATCATGGTTTATTTGAAACAAGGTCGTTAAATCTTAAAAAATCAGAAAAAGTGGAATAACTCAGAAAATGTTGAAATCCGGACTATAGTTAATCAGGACTTTTTGGTTCCATTTTGAATGTAGAACCTAAGGACAAAGTATGTAACACGAGTAGCCGAACACCCTGTATATATATTTTTTAAACATTCAACATCATGCAGTTAACCCAATATTTTCTTTATTAAATTCTAATTTTTATTTTAACTTTTCGTACTTCACTTTTTTTTCAATTGTTTGGTGGCAAATGGGTCTGCAAAGAGATTAATTATTAGACGGGTATTATTATTAAAGTCGTTTATTAGTCGTCCAAAGGTTAAAAAATACCTAATCCTATATTAATTTCAACAAATTTTTTGTCAGCACAGTTCTTACTTATAAGATATGTTACAGGCGGCCAGCCCTGCTTGTACAGAACTAGAGACCATCGTCTTGGACTGGTTAGGTGAGCGATAATTTTCAATTTGATGTTTTAACTGGTGTTTGCAAAAAGAAAAAACTGTCGACAGGGAAAGCGATCGGGCTACCAGACGAGTTCTTAGCGTTCGCCGAAGGGAGCAAAGGCGGCGGGGTCATCCAAGTGAGTCAGACTTATAATATATTCTAGGATCTGATTTTTCCATTCCACGGCCGGCTGGCTATCGTCAATGACGCTCGTCCAAAACGCTCTATCATCTAGGAGATCCCAATAAAAAAAATACAAGTTTAAACTTCGTTCTATGCAAGATATCTTTTACTAATCGACGGATGTCTTGACATTAGCGTACACCAATACTTAGCTAGTCTTGATATTGTTTATTGTGTCACAGTGAGAGGGAAAACTAAAACCTACAGATCGAACCTGCTTTTTAGAATTTTTAATAAAGCAACCAATATTCCTGTCGTTATTTATATATGCATTCCATCAGGGGATCACTGTATTATATCAATGTATACAGTCATGTAGGAAATCGGAGGTCGATTTCGACGACCTACTTTAATCCTACTGTTTTGGCAAAATTAATATTGGTCGTTGGTATGCTGTTCTGGTTCGTACCAGCGAGAGTAGACGGACCATATGAACAGATCAAGTGACAATCAGTTCAGAATTAATATCCAGTTCGGTCATTTGCGACCACCGGTGAGGCTATCTTCGAGGTCTTTTTCTGTCAGGACGTTTCCATTTATCGCCCAGCCCTGGGTCAGAGCCCAAAATAGCGAAGATAGGTAGAAAAAGTGATCAGAAACGTCTGAACTACTAAGGTTGGTTACCAAAACACCAATAAAAGGCAAATAGCGAGAACAAGCTAAGCTATTGCCAACAATAATTTATATGTACTGCTTTCTTTTTCCAGACTTCTGCAAGTGAATGTGTACTTGTAAGCATGCTGGCAGCGAGGGCTCAAGCTATAAAGAAATTAAAACAGCAACACCCTTTTGTGGAAGAAGGGATGCTTCTATCGAAATTAATGGCGTATTGCTCAAAGGAAGCCCACTCCTGCGTGGAAAAAGCGGCTATGATCTGCTTCGTCAAACTTAGGATTTTAGAGCCTGACGAAAAGTGTTCTCTCAGGGGTGCCACTTTGCAGCAGGTTTGTATTTTAATTTTTTTAAATAATAAACAATAACAAAGGTGATTTGTAGGCAATGATGGAAGATGAAGCGATGGGCTTGATCCCTTTTTTCGTGTCTACGACTCTGGGGACGACTTCCTGTTGCAGCTTCGACAACTTGCCGGAAATCGGCCCGGTCTGTAGAGAGTTTCCGTCCGTGTGGCTCCACGTCGACGGGGCGTACGCTGGCAACGCTTTCATCCTGCCAGAGCTGAAGTATCTCTTGAAAGGGATCGAGTACGCCGATTCTTTCAACGCAAATTCGAACAAGTGGCTTCTTACCAACTTCGACTGCTCGACCATGTGGGTCAGGGATCGGCTGAGGTTGACTTCCGCTCTTGTCGTCGACCCCCTTTACCTCCAGCACGGATATTCTCACTCTGCCATCGACTACAGGCACTGGGGGGTCCCGCTGAGCAGGAGATTCAGGTCGTTGAAACTGTGGTTCGTCCTCCGCTCTTTCGGCATAACCGGGCTCAGGAAGTACATTCGCAATCACATTAAACTCGCCAAAAAATTCGAAAATCTCGTTAACGCCGATAATAGATTTGAAGTCTGCAACGAGGTCAAGGTGGAAAAACTGACTTTCTCAGCGTAACAAGCGATTTTAAAAAGCGAAAAACATTTTAAAAAATATAAATGAATATTTTTATTTTCAGCTCGGCCTGGTATGCTTTCGGCTTAAAGGAACGGACAAGATAAACGAGAAGCTTCTCAGCAACATAAACGGAAGCGGAAAAATTCATATGGTCCCGGCAAACGTAAACGACAAATACACTATAAGATTTTGCGTAACGGCTCAAAACGCGACGGACAAAGATATTGGTACGCTCTAACTCGAAAACCGAGCACTTTTGATATTCATTTCAATTTTTCAGATTACGCTTGGAAAGTGATCGCGGAATACGCGTCCGAACTCATTGAAGCACAGGAACTCGAAAAGGCGAAGGTAAGACGATTGGATTTTCTTCCTAGATTAGACGAACAAAATATCATCCCATCTCACCATGCTGGCGTCCGTAACACCACTCCCCAATCCAGCAAGCCACCTCGCTGAAGACGCAATATAATTTCTTGAGCTGAAATTGTACTGCCCGGGTGTTTTCTTTGATGTTGCTCAAGTCTTTGACAGGATATGGCACACGGGTTTGCTGTGGAAGCTGAAGAGCATCCTTCCTCCACCTACTTTCTCATTTAAGACAGTCAGGGAACATCATTCTCTGACTGATATCATGTTCGGCCTGGAGTCCCCACAGGCTAGTATTCTTGGTCCCATTCTGTTTCCTGATGTACCTATCCGTCTCAACACATTCATCCACACTTTTGCAGACGATTCTGTTATTCTATCTTCCAATAAAGATCCTCTCATGTTATCAACCTTAGCTCAAAAAGCCACCATATCTATATCGGATATCTCTTTCTTTCTTTCAAAACTGACGCTTCGCCACAAACGACTGACTGACAAAACGGTAATAAAGCCCATTTGGATGTACAGCATGGAACAGAGAGCTTAACCAAACATGTCAACTATCATGGTATTCAGATTTCCCAATCTGAAATCCTCGAAAAATAGTAAAGACTACCTTCTAATCTCGGTACACAAAACTCCTCAGCGCCGCATCCCGACCTATTTTCAACAAACCTCTAAGGAAGTTAATCAGCAGAGGCCTGGCGACCCGATGGATAGTGTTGTAACGAAAGAATTAATTATAAAATCTTCCATTTGTTTTATTTTGTTCAAGGAAACATCGGACGAAGTGTTCGATCTGTTGGATAGGAAAAAGAAAGAGACGCTCGCATACAAACGGTCTTTCTTCGTTCGGATGGTTTCCGATCCGAAAATTTACAATCCAAAGATCGCTAAGAGTTTGCCGGTGAACCGGCGACACACGTCTCATGTGACAGATGACGACGACGACATCGAGAGTAACTCTGATAACAGCGTGGCAGCCAACACGCCGACAATGTAAAATAAATTTAATTCGAGTTATTTTGATTTATTTTCACATTCATTAATTTTGTTTAAGAGCTTCATGGATAAGTTGGCCTCTAGCGTTTCTGGTGCACGAAGCAGGAGCCAACGAACTTGCAGTTAGGTAATACATTTCTAAGGGGCTGGGTGGTAAATCTCTGACCAAAAAAAAATCACTTCACCACGATAAGAAATATACCATAAATACGAATAAATATTCTTAATTAATTAACAATTTGTGTTTGTGTTTTCAGATTTCGCCACTTGGACACGATGGTGAGGCTCAGGGGGAACAAGGAGATTTGTCCAGCCCCTAGAAGAGAATCGCATTCACCATCACCGGAAAATTCGGAAAAGAAATCACCTACTCGCCGAAGATCCCCTTATCCGCGTTAAGCCCTGCTTGCTTCATTGTAGAAAAAAAGGATATCCGAATCCACGTTGAAACCAAAAAAAGGTCTAGAACAATACAGGTTATCCATAAACTAGCTGAGATGAACATATTCGGATATTCTTTTTAAAAAAACGCTTCACAGTTAATAAATAAAGCATACCGATGGGAACATTATTTGTCAAAAATTAAAAATGGAAAAACAGTAACAATTTGTACTATTATTATTGCTTCCAATTTTTCTTGATTAACATTAATATTTAATATATTACGATATGAGCTAATATTTTGTATAAAAAAATTACAGTATAGAGCCCTGACTAATGTGGGAATAAGGGAACAAAACATTACCTATAAAACCATGAACAAGTTATGTAAAAAAATACATTGATTATACAAAAAAAACTTTTTCAATTTGTAAGTGATCAAACTATAGTCCAGACGATTATAAATTTAAAGATAAACTGTCTGTAAAAATATGACAACACCCTGAGATTTTTTTACAAGAGCATCTTGTTTTACAAAAATAAAATAGGCTCAAAAGTACAAAATAAACAATTTTATCTTTTAAAATTAAACATGCATTTGATTAAAAACAAACCAAAATGAATAATAAAATGTAATCGGTTTAAAATGGTATTTAATAACAAGCATTGCCCTCCTCTTGCTTTTATGACTGCTTCCATCTTTGTTGGCATTTCATAACCCCTACAAGTCTTTAGCATTTTGCCGCACCTTGGCCTTTTTGTGCTTTTGCCTGGGTCCGTCAAACAGCTCACTTATATATATATGTACATTGACTAAATATAGAATTATATCTAAGCTCAGGCACATCAATATGTACATTGCTTCCCGTATACTCGGTCGTCCTAAAAAGGACAATGAGGATCTTTGAGATCCTAGCCTATTCGGCCTTATCGGACGTTTTGATTCTCAAGTTGAGAGCTGACGCACCTCTGCATAGGACAGAAGGGTGTTACTGCCGCAGCGTTGGTGTAGAGGCAGCTAAGCCCCGAGGGGCCAAGACAACCTTGCTCTCCGCTTGCCCATTCCGAGTGGTCGAGTTCGCATTAAGCATCGAACCGTATGCCGCGAGCAAAGGGCTACCTAAGCCGAAATACATCAGCCTGGTCTCCCGCGCACTACCTAGATAGAGAAAGCCACTCTATCTCCCAGAGTAGTGGGGCTTCCATAGCGTAGAAACTACCGGATCCGCTCCGGCCGCGGTTTTGTTTAAAGTGGAATTGCTAACCACTCCCTAGAGGAGACCGCTAACGGTAAAAGCCTCCAAACGAGCTCAGCCTACACCTACGTGCAAAGCATACTGGAGTAGGAGCAACCGATTCACTACCCGTTCCCATCCGCCACTACTCACGCATTCGAGGGACTTTTCAGCATAATCATAGCGTCCTCAACGCTTATACGCAGTCTTTATCCCATGAGGCCGGGTGTATAACGATAAATATGCCCAAGTTTCGTGAGAAGGTCACAGAGAGAAGACAGACTCTTCTCAAAGTGCCCGCCGGGGGTCTCACCACGGCCAACTATGAGTCCATTCCCAATGTAACAGGGGCTGAACCTGGGAACTTTTCTGTTACCCCGTAGTACAGATGGTTATGCACCCACCCCCTTCTATGCAGACAGTATCTGGTGCCCTAACCCTCGTGTGCCTCTGGTAAGGCACCCGCTGCCCTATGCCTACCCGAGGCCGACACGACTACAGCTTGTGCTTTAGAAAGGTTGCCAAGCCCTCAGGGCTACACCATTATTTTGCGCCCGGACATCCCCTTGTAGAAAAGGGTTGGGAGGGATCACATTAATGAAGGAACCTGCAGTGAGAAAAGGACGTGGATGAGGACATGAGGTACACCTTTCTTGGGCCCCAAGCCTTAACCACATTGTACCACCCGTTCCACATTAAGTGGGCTACGACTCCCTGGGTGGATGCATCAATATGATCACCGATCTTCATTCGGTCATAAATACTTATATCTAACTGACCACTCTTTCAGTCTCATAATCGCATGTAGTTATGTTAGTGAGCATCGCTGTGTAGTTTCTTTTGGGTTCGATTGTCTTTCTTATACATAGGCAGCTCACCAGCGGTCACTTGTAACACTTCTGTGGAGGTTGTTCTATACGCTCTCGTTATTTTCAGCAATCTTTTCCTTGGACTGTTGTAATATTTGCAACTTGCGCTGACTAAACTGGACACACATAGGTAAATACAGACGTGTTTATTGCCGAGGCTATTACTTTCTTTTGTTGGAACGAGACTCCTCAGGTTGGACCAGCGAGCGTGGTCATGCGGGTGACCGCAACTGATACACATGCTCCTAACCAAATTTTGTTCAAAATCCTAGAATATTTTTATTCCACTCCTCTTCTCCTCCTCAGTTCAAGGGTTGAAAGTTTTAATACCGTAACCGTGAGGTTGTCCCCCAACCTTTTTTCGATTGGGCTGAGGTCCAGACTTCTGCTGGCCACTTAAAGGAACCAGTGTTCAGGTACTCAGAAACACATGTTGCCTTATGTTCAGAGTCTAAGAAAGGCATAAAATATACTACATCTTGTAGGATCATCTCAACATAAGGTTTTCGAGATTTCCCTTATGATTAGTACCAACTAGTTACATATACATATTATACATCCCAAAAAATACCACCCCAGAACATCATAGGACCAGGCAAATATCACTGTTTATAACGTGCTGCACCATTCTCCTGACTCTTTCAAGACCATCTGGATTGTTACGGGTCTTGCTTCAACAGTGACTAGGACTTTTTTTCCATTCCTCTATAATCCACAAATTGGAATTTTTCCATTCCCTTTCTCTTTATCTCAGTCTCTATGGTGTTCTTTGAGGAGGCATTTCTATTTTTTGTCTCTCTCAACTTTCTCTAGCAGTTGACTCTGAACTGCCTGGCATTAGGGGGATATTGATTAGTCTGTCTGAGTCAATGTCAGTGATCAAGTTATCGATGCGAGAAGGTTTTAAATTGCACTTCCATATTGCTTGTATATTAGTAAAATCGATGGGGTTGCTGATTCTGGGACGTGCTGAATTTGGAGACCTCAAGTCCTAATCACCCTGTACTTTTTAACGGTATTTGAAAACTGACAAAACAATGCCAAGGCGATACAGGCAATTGATTTCCTTTTTGATGTTCATTATGGGCACAAACAAAACCAACAGATTAAAGAAAACAAGAGAAGCTGCTTGAAACTACAAAAGGTAAAAACCGACTGACTGGAACAATTAACATGAACCAAGAAAAACTTTGATCCTTAGTTTGATTGTACAAAATTTACAAACAGACCTAAAATATTATCAAATCTAATATATAAACATAAAATATTATTATAGATCTATTGGTGTTGTGATATTTTTTACAGGGAATGTATTTTAATGTCAAATTAAGACTAAATATAAAAAGTAATATCAACATACAATAATATTTAATAAATAAAGAACAGGTAGCAGTGGTAAATGTGTAAACAGAAAATAAAGAAGATATTCTATATGAAATTTTGTTTGACCGAACTCAAGAAATAACAGTATCAAAGCATAACATTGAATGTAGAAAAAAATTGATTAGTTGATATATTTTAAAACGTTGTTTAAAAATAAAACATTATTATCATGAAGAGTTTAGGTAATTGTATTTACAATTTACTAACACAAAAACATAATTACAAGGAAACATTTGTGTATAAATAATTTGTGTGAAAATAATAATAATACTTTAAAACAGTCTAGTAATGATAATGATAGATAATATCAAAAAGGAACATAAAAAATTAATATTTCTACTATTAATAATAGAACTCTTCAAATTAGTTGGCAAAGTCTAATCAAACGTTCTCGAGTCATCATGTTCTGGTAATGATATCCTGATTCAGACTGATATCAATGAATTTTTGATAGTATATGAATTTATTCTGATTATGAATGCAAAATAAATTGAGTTTTTAAAGCAGATTGTCTTATTTTTTTTTTATTAAAGCATGCATTTATTGCAATTATCAAACTTAAAAAAAAATAATAATAAAAAATAAAAATCACTGTACAATATGATACAAAGTGATCAATAACAAAATGTGGATGAAATAAAGAATTATTAAGTGCTAAAAAAATTATCTTCCCTTGTCACATTAGTTGATTGTAAGGTTACAGAAAAAAAAAACAAATAAAATAAATAAATAAAATAAAATGGAGCTGGGCAGAGCACATAGTAAGAATGAAAAAATGATTAAACAATATCAAACTGGAAATCTAAGGGATGAAAAAGAAAACAAAATGTAGATAACTTAAGAAATGAGTATGCCTTTTAAACAGAAGGAAAAAATTGGACAAGTGTAGTTTGCAAAAGAGAATCATAGACCAGAAAGGGGGATTCCTTTGTTCGATAAAGGGCTAGATTCAAAAAATATTTTGAGAAGGCTTTTTTTAAAGAAAATTTTTTCAGGAAGAATAACTTTTTTAAGATTTAAAAGCTGCTCATTTATGGAAATTTAAGATTTGATTCAAGAAATTTAAAAGATTTTTAATTTTATAAAAAGATTTTTTAGATTAACACATTACTACACACCTTCGGCTTCCCTATTTCTCAAGATGGACCATGAAGTTCTGTATTTGTGCCCCTTCAAAATCAAAATGATTTATAGCTTTTAAGTAAAGTTGGCTGAGATGAAAAGATTAGTGTCACAAGTTTGTGACACTGACTTCTGGTGGCTCAACATGCCACAGCTCTAACTGCTTGCAAAAAAAATGGCAATAGCTCAAGTGCTCTCACTCAATCACACTTTACATAAAAATTATATATCAACTTAAACTTACACTATACTAATTATATACAGTAGAGGATTTTTACAAGATGAGTTATTTATCACTGGACGTCTCTGACCATATCAAACTGAAGGATCTCCATGCGAGATTGAAATGAAAGTAATTTCCGATTGCAAATTTGGAATTAGGAAACTCAAATTTGACCATGCTTCTTAAAAGGTAGAGACTCAATGAGCAAGAGAAAAAAGATTTGTGTCAGTGAATACAGAACATGTAAATGATACAAAGTAAAATCAGAAACCATTGAAGCGTGTGAAATAAATTACTTCGCAGGGGTACAATTTTTTTGGATATAAAATACAACGTTTGAAATATTTAACCAGGGCAAGACAGCAAATTCGTAAATCAGGCTATGTATTGACAGTACCTAATCTAAAAAAATAAATCTTTAAGAGGAAAAATAAAATTTTTTAATTAGTCCAAATGTGGTATTTTTAGCAGTTGAGAAAATATACTAATTTGCTTAAATAATAAACTAAAAAAATTTAAGCAATAGAATATGTCAATTTTTACTGCTGAAATGTGTACGCTGACAAGAGCCATTACGTATATTGTCACATTGGAAGGGAATGAATTTAGCACTCTCAGACAGTATGAGCTTCTTGAGCAATTTCATCCAAATGCAAGGTATGATTATCTACTGGCGGAAATCATTAATGCCACATATGACTTACAGTTTTTCTGCAGAAAAAGGTAGTTTTTGCTGGAGTCTGGGACATTGTCACATCCGTGGTAATGAGGTAGTGGTCTGATTGGCCAAAGAAGCAACAAAACAAGGAGAATATCACAATTTCATGCTGTTGAAGATGGAGGCAAAACGTCTTTTCACTAAACAGATAATGCAAGAATGTAATGTGTAGTACACCCAGGGAACGGCGGGTTTGCCATATAAATCCATATTCTAGGAAATAGGATAAAAAACAAGGTTCTCTGGAATTAAGCACAAAAGAATTTTTTGCTTCGATATCCAGCATTCGCTCAAACCACTGCATTTGCAGCACACACTTGCCACCGAGCTTCACCAAACTGCGAGATGTACAATGAACCAGACAACATACAGCACACAACTTTGACGTGCCCAGAATACGAAGAGAGAAGACAGAAATTTCTCGACAGGGCGTAAACGCTGAGAAATTTGGAGCAACCGTTTGGTTGGGCAAGCTTGCTTTCAACTGGAAATGTGGACATGTATAAATTGAAATTAATAAACATGCAGTTTTGAGAGAATTTGAAGAAGAATTGAAAGAAAAAGAAATTTGAAGAACAATTTGATGTGTGATACTGTGCTAGAGACTTAGTGTACAAGTGAGTTATGGTAATTGCTTACTTATGTGTAAAACTAGTTAGTTCATTGTTCTGGGTTCCTTGTTTTAATTAATTATGTTATTTATTATATGATATGTACTTATCTATTTCTTAAATAATGTGTATATGAGTGTATGCTTAAAGCAAAGTAATATATTTAAAAAAAAAATATATAGATTGAAGCTGCATTATTCTTCAGGAGAATTTTGGAAGAACCAAGGAAAAATTATAAAAGGAACAAAATAACAAAATAAAATTCTAAGATTAACTAGATACAATATTTCTTGAAAAGCACATTAAAACCAGGGGCCTTTATTATTCTTTCCTTATTACTATTAAACAAATAAATAAATTATTGTGATGTGGTCTTTTTCATTTTATGGCTCATTTTGGGTGGTCTATTTGAGGAAACCAAAAGCATATGGAGATTTTGTTAACAAAATAAAGTTTATAAATACAAAATATAATTCTATATTTTAAGAATGTCAACTTTAAAATTTTTAAAACAACGCCAAATATCTTCAGTGTATGTGTACAAATTACCGAAAATATTTGTAAATTTTTCTGATAACATGGAAAACATAAATGAACACAAATTCAAATAGTTTGGTCGTTTCCAATCAATTTGGTGTTTCCATCCTCACTTTATCGGAACCGACAATGTCATATTTGGTGAAATACATGATATTCACGCGTTCAATTTTTGCAAAGGGAATAAAAACTAAGATAAAAGTTAAACTACTTGTAGCAGGACTAAAGGACAATTCTCATATCGGGTACTACAGGTTTTCTATACAGACCCAAGGAAACTGACTTCAATTGAGTAGGACAAATCGAGCAAACATTCTCTACAAGCCAGACACATATGCAAGCACAAAAATTAAGTCCCCATTGTCATCCTCACGTGGTTTAACCTGAATCGTAGCTGGATGATCCATTTTCAATGATTTAATTTCTCCGAGGACCACACATCGAACGAACCCTTGATGCAGAGGAGCTTTTCTGCTGATTCTTTACTGATGTAATGAGGTGATAACAAACCACTTTGATTTTTAGATTTTACATTACGAAAAATAATTGTTATCATTGATTAAAAAACCTTTGAATGAAAATCTTAATTTCAATGTTGCTAACACTCATTTCTACACAATTCCCTCGATTTAAAAAACAAAATTCTGAAGATTTTATGTTGAATAATTTTAATTTATATAAATATAATATAAATGTCTCATCTTACCTGGTTTTAGGATTGTAAAAATCCTAAATGCACTTTTGTAGGTAAAATGTATTTGTTTTGGTCAACAGCCTGGCCTGGCATTACCTTCCCACAACTAATCTTCTTTGAAACACGTGAACGACCCTAGCGCTACTATGCTGTTGTCCCTCTAAAATATGAAAAAGTGGGCCAAGAATTTGGAGAAAAGCGAGGTTAGGCGGACCAAGATCCTCCTCGCGATTACCGAATGAACATACTTTTACGCCGTCATCCAAACGATATTTGTTTAAGTAGAGTAACTCACCTCTAATTTTTATTACACAACTTGTCGAACTTGTGTGTATTTCGGACCTTACATTTTGACGTACACTACGCAAATGTTTATAGACAGGATGACGTATACTGTCTATAATAGTCCAATCAATAAGCATTAAATTTTTAATTTTATCTTAAATTCGTGGGGTTTTTAAATCCTAAATTACATCCATTATTTTCAAATTACACTTATGGAGTTTATTTATATCATTAAACCCAAACAACTTTCTATTGATTATTTCACATAAAACTATTTTTGCACATCTACTTGGTGGCAAGCTTAGACATTTATTTATATAGCAAAAATTTAACTTTAGTATGAACAAAAATACTGGAAAAAGTCCAAATTGTAGATAAATAATATACAGTTGATCAAAAAAGTATTGGCTCACCCCACTTTTTCCGCAAATCTCAATAGGCATAAGATATTTTCCATAAATAATATTTATTTTAAAATTGGCCTTTTAGTAATTGTAAAGTAAACGTAACAGAGAAAATTTTGAGGGTCAAAAAAGTATTTGCACAGTTTAAATGTCTAATATTAGCACCAGTCAAAACAAATCAATCCATTTTCTTTCAATAGATTAGAAATGAGGAATGACAATAATACAATGACAACAATAAAACTCAATCATTGATCTATCTTTTTCATAGCAATTTGGGTAAAATGGTGCTTATTGTGCTATTTTCAAAAATCAGATAATTAAATTTCATTTTAAATGGCTTAGCTGCCGACAAATAGAGAGAGTAGATTAGAAATTAGTTTTAGTTCTGTTTGAAATATTGTAAGAAAGTTTAGATAGACGGATTCGATTTTAAACAAATCTCGGTCAGGACGGCCATCAAAATTTAGTGAAAGGGAACAAATGAGCATACACTGTATAGTTGAGAAAGACCCCACTCTATCAGCTGCCAGGATTGCAGAAGAGGTCGCATCATTTTCCAAACCCACGTTTTGCATACAGACAATAAGAAATGTAATTCACAAATATAATTATTATGGCAGGGTCCAAAGGAAAAAAATCTTTTATTTCAGAGGTGAACCGCAAAAAAAGACTTGTTTTTGCTAAAATTTATGTTATGACATAGAAATCTGGAAAAATGTTTTTTTCAGATAAAAGTAAATTCAACATTTTCGGATCTGATGGCCGTAAGTAAATTTGGCGGAAACCTAAAACTGAGTTTCAAGCTCGCCATGTGAAGCTCACTGTAAAACATGGTGAAAATGTCCTAGATTTGGGGTAAGTGTCATTGTGGTACAGGCAACCTTCATTGACAATATTATGAATGTCGAGAAATATGTCGACATTTTGCGGCATAATTTAAAACGTAGTGCCAAAAATCTGGGGATCAAGGACACTTTTATTTTTCAACAAAATAGTGATCCCAAGCACACAACAAACAAAACAAAAGAACGGATGCTGTACAACGTTCCCAGGCAATTGAAAACGCCACCACAGTCTCCGGACATAATTGCAATTATCAGTATCTGTTGAAACCTAAAAGTAAGAAAAAAATTGAATTTCTTCAAAAATCAATTGAAATAAACTTACGAAGGCGTAAATCATAGATACCAATAGTATGATGACAAAATATTGGTGGAATCCAGTTCATAAAAACCTTATAAATAATAAACAAAGTGTGACAATACTTTTCTGACTGGGTAAATTTGAGTTTTTTTTAAACTTAATTGTTGCGTTATGCAACATTTCAATTTTTATTGTCGACTTATGTATTTTTCTAAATATATTATGAAATAAAAATATTTGTAAAAATAAATTGTTGATTTTTTAATACTGAAACTTAGAATAAGTTAAGTGTGCCAATACTTTTTTGATCCATAGTAATCGGATGTGTTTGAAACCAAAACTTTATTTATAAAATATTTGAATTGAATTGAAAATACTTCCACACTTTCATAGCTGCGATGGCCCCAGACTTATGGGGTATTACGAGTATAACTAGCGATTCTGTGTTACGGAGTGTAACACAGTGTCGCGCTCATGTTACGCTGTTAAAAATTTTAAGTTTGGAAGAAAACGGAATTTTATTATTATATATTATTTTATTAAAGTTGTGCAGAGCAATTTGTATCTAACGGCAGATTTGGAGTTAAAGTTATACCCAAGTATTTATATTTATTATCTATTTGTACTAATTCTTTTTCGAAAAACCATCTCTCTCGTCGAAGGCTTTTCCCCCGTTTTCGAAAACTAGAATTTTTGACTTACTTCAGGTTTACCTCCCAGTTCAGGGTACCGCAATAATTTTCTTGGTAAGTCATCATTTTTTGGAGAGAATTTTATCTGACGTCAAAAGAACTAAATCATCCGCATACGGTGCCATGTTAATCCGATCACCTCCTATAATATTATCTCGACCCTTCAAGCACCCTTGCTAATAAAAAGCGCAAAAAGTAGCGGGCTTAACAGGCACCCTTGTTTAACGCCCATTACCAAATATTTCAGTTAGTCCATTAAGACAACATATAGGCATAGCAGGCGGCCCTTAGATTTACAAAGAAGGCTTTTTGTCACTTACAACTCTATTTTATTTTAATTAAGCCTATCAATATATCAATATTAACACTCGTAGAATAAAATTTCCTTAACGCATAAGAAATATTATTTTACAGTTATAAAAAATATTAAATCCTGGAAGTATTTTAAAGTAAGTTTAAGTAGTTTACAACTTCAACTGGAATCTTAATATAATTAAATAGTTGGAATATTTAAGACATTGAAAATTACAAATTGTCTGTCACCCAGTAAAGAAGTCCCCAGGCCACGATTTCATAATTTTCAAAATTTTTTTTGTAGAAATTTTTTTAAAAAATTTGGGGGTTGAATGAGGATTTCAAAAATCCCTTCCTCCTCTACGACCTGTACATATCTATAGTCGAACCCCTTAAATTATAACTATATCTTGGAAAGTACACTTTTCTTTTAAGATTAAGACTTCTTATAAGCACTTACCTCGATGCTACTTCGCGCAACTCTTTTGCTGTTGCATTACCTTACCAAAATTACCTTAGCGAAGGTTCTGTACAATAATGCTTCGTATTCACAAAGGACATAATCCGATCTTTATGATTCCTCCTGAGAGTCAGCATGTTTCTGTATTTGCTTTGTCTTTTGCTTTATAGGTAAGAGGGCAGTGTTTGTAATACAGGCGTGCTGAGACTCCTTCGCTTTTCTTTTGGAGAGATTTGATTAACTCTTAGCTCGCCCCATACCTGGTGCTTTTGTCCAGGGCAAGAGTTTTTCTTTCTCAAGCCACTTTTACAGTTCTAACTTAAGCACACTCTGGTGCACCTAGATGTGGTTCTGGACCAATGGGTAAGAGGGCTTCCTTTTTTTAGCTGTTAGGCAATTTAGGCTTCCCAGGAAAATTTGGCGTTGAAAGAATACACATTTTGTGCCTTTAGCTGCCGGACTGTCTGAAAGTATGAAAATCTCTCTCTTTTCATACTTTTCTTTAGTAACTTCTGTCCACGGTGTTGTATTTCATATGCTCATCCTCATACAAACTTATAAAGTTATAATTATATCTTTTCCCGATTCTGCCCAAAATTTTTGAATCTTTTTCCCTCGAAAGACTAATGCCCATAATCAGCCTTGACAGCATCATCACCAATCCTTTTGGTTTTTAATCCCTCTATTTTGCTGTCCAATCAGAATTTACGAATAGTGGACAGAATATCAACTGTCTTAGAAAAATAAGCATTATTGTTCAAACGATTTTTTGTGCATGTTACAAAGGCGTTTGACATTTCCCCCCGAAGTATCATTCCTCTTGCCACCTAAACGTCCTGAAGCCGCGGACTGCTGGTATATGGAAAGAAGTGGTACTGAATAATCAGACATCAAACTAATCATAGCCGGCCTTCTGGTGGGATATGTGGTTGAGGTGGAGTGTGGTGGAATATGGTGGAGTCTAGTGTGTGATGAAGGCTGTGTGTAGTGGAGGCTGTTTGTAGTGGACTGTGGTGGAGGCTGTGTATGGTGGAGGCTGTGCATGGTGGAGGCTTTATTTGGTGGAGGCTGTATCTATGTAATGGAGGCTGTGCGTGGTGGAGGTTGTGCGTAGTGGAGGCTGTGTGTGGTGGAGGCTGAGCGTGGTGGAGGCTGTGTGTGGTGGAGGCTGTGTATGGTGGAGAGTTCGCGAATCTTTTTCGATTCATTTCCTCCGAGGGCCACCTATAACCCGAACCTAGCGATATTATGATTCACACAAGATTTGGTTAGGCAAAATCTTGCAATAATTTCATTTTCACTAGTATTACTGGCATTTTCTTTTTTTTGGTAGTTTTAAGATAAAATACCAGTTCCGTTTTCCACGTATATGTTTGAAATTGTGGACTCTTATGAAAATCTATTGTACCAGTTATGAATAATTAACTTCAACTGATTTATTAAAACATATAAGATGTTCAACATTTTCCATGTTTATTTTCGAAAAAAATTCCCAAGGTTACAAAATTTGACATTTCCCCCAGTACAAATATACTGTAGATTGACTTCCGATTTAAACAAAAAGATCCTATCATAGCTTTTCCCCGAGAAAATGGATCACCAACGAAAACCTGGTAGCATCAGTCCGGAGGTCTTTTCTCACTGTACTTCTTCGTGAATTCCTCTGCATTTTTCATAAACCTTTTTTTGTCTTTGACCAACTCCTCCGCCAGGTCGGAACGGAGCGGATGCTCCGGCTCAGGATCGTTGACGAGGGCGACCAACGCTTGAATGACCTGTTCTGTTTTCATCGCCGGCTTCCAGTGGTCGGGGCTTATGATCGGCAGGCAGACTCGCCCCTTTTCGTCGACGTTCGGATGGTAAATTCTCGTCCTGAAATTGATGATTGGAGGCTTGAAAGGGTACTCGACCGGGAAGTTGATTTCGATTTTAAAAGCCCCTTTGTTGTACGGTGGTTTGTCCGGAAGGATGAGCCCCACCCAATGCAGCAGGTCGTCGCCTTCCGTCTCCAGATCGCGGAACCATTTCAAGTCCGCTGACAGTATGTCGCTCAGCTCTTTCTGCAATCGACGAGAGGCGGCCATGGCGGTCCACCTGGAAAATCCCAAGATCAACTATATAAATCAGAATTTCAACAAATAAATAATACACTGCATTTGTGTGTGTTCGATCATTTCCTTACATATGATTCAATGCGTCATTGTTTCAATCATACAATTCGTGTGTAACAATAAAATTCTCAATGGTAGAAAAACTACGATGCTTAAACAAATTAAACTTTTAGGTTTTTATAGTTTGGTCGGCTCCGATCACTTTGTTCTATCCTCTCTGATTTGATCTGCCAGAAGAGGTTTGATTTCCTAAACACCCATAACTGCCCAAAAGACGAAACTCGTCTGGCACACCTTAAAGTAAGGATAGTCAAAGGGAACGGAGACCAACAAACTACAGGTTCATCTTAACTCATTTCTTTGTATGTTTTTGTATATACCAAGAAGGAGAGAGAGAGAGAGAGAGAGAGAGAGAGAGAGAGAGAGAGAGAGAGANATAGATAATAGAAGATTTATTGAGAGAGAGAGAGAGAGAGAGAGAGAGAGAGAGAGAGAGAGAGAATAGATGAGAAGATGACAATAAATAAAGAAATAGAGAAGAGAGGAGTGTGTGTTCATAAACCCCAAAAAACCCCATGAGAGCTTAATAAAGTTTTTTTTATTTTAGTTAGTTAATGTTTTACTAGCAAGGAAAAGATCAAGGTCCCAAGTCAGCAGAAGAACATATATTATATATTATTATTAGGAGCAATTCAATTTTTGGGTGTGTATATTGAATTTTTTACGAGGGTTCGTAACAGCAAAGGTTATATCAACCCTCGCTGTGCTGGTGTTTTTGAAAAAAGCCCATTTGTAAGTATGTCGGGTTCCAATGCAGGGCCGCTGCATCCGAACCCGACTTTACAGTGATGAGCGCAGTGTCAAGGCCAAAACCGTAGCATTCTTTTTAACATATTAATTTTTTTTTTTTTCAATTTTCTTGTTTCTGTTATTTCAATATTGCATAGGTTTTTCCTTGTTGGTTTTGCCGTTAGAATTCTTCGCTCGAACGAGTGCTTTGCGTTTTGTCAATGTCCATGGGTTCGGGGGCAAATGGCCATTATTTGTCTCGATTTGACTTCACAAGCTGCCTTGGTTTTTGTATTATTTATATTATGATTAATATCTTTCAATTAATGGAGGTTTTTCGTTGAGATAAAAGTCAGTGTCACTAGGGGGGATTCGAACCCACGATCTTCGGCTAGATACGCCGTTGCTTTATCACTTGAACTATCGTGACCTGGAACCACTCGGACACTAACTTCCCATCTCAACCCCATCTTTTGAATTTTCCCTCCATTTTGCCATTTTTTAAATGTCGTGTAATCTATTTGATTCTCGGCGACAAAATGAAATGGCCACGGAGAGGTTTAGTGAAGGTTTACTTCATTTTAACTTATTAAATTCACTAGTTTTCGTGGTCCGCTTGACCAATTAATATCTTTCAATTAATTAAGGTTTTTAGTTGAGATAAAACAATATTTGTCGCCGAGCATCAAATATTACACGACTGACGATGACACTGACGTTTTATCTCAACTAAAAACCTTAATTAATTGAAAGGTCTTAATTGGTCAAGCGGTCCACGAAAACTAGTGAATTATGATTAATATGTATTTATTTAAATTTAAAACTGATTTATCATTTAATTCTGGTTGCTCGAATGTAAGTTTCAGTAGTATCGAGCCACCAGGGTAAAAAATCGTTTTGTAACTTAAATCTGTTTTTATGTTGAGGTCTTGCATAGCTCTATACCCTAGCAAAACATCAAATTAGTCAGAAAAAGGAAAGAGGCGAAATTTCGCGGTTACGCGTTTTTGAAAAATTTCGTACAAACTTAGATTGCAAGATTTTTCTCCCTTCCTTTTGCCAGCGGGTTTGAAATTATGAAAGGGTCATTCGATAAAATTGTATCTTTCGGTCTTGCTGTAGGTAGAATGTAGTTTTCAGAAGATCCCGTGCCTATTTACCATTTGAGTCCGCGCCCGTCAATGAAATGTGGTAATGATAGGTTCACTGAATTTAATTGATATTCGGAGGGCTTCCTTTCGATGCTTTGTCTAATCCTAAAAATGAATGTCTCGATGGTGTTTTCTAATTTAGTCAATATGTCTTTAACAGCATGATTCGACTTTGTTTTCTTACAATGGGCCACTCCGTACGGATCGTAAATCAAACAATCGCGGTCTACCTATGAAACGCATAGAAATTGTGTATTGCGAATCATGCTTATGCGCGGATCTGTTGGTAGTAAATGGATGATTTGTGTCGTTGGGATCACTCGGTCCTCTAAAGTATTGTCCGTTTGGTTTATCTTCAAATGCTCTGTTAATTAAAATATTCTTTTTATTTAAGGCCTTAGAGAAGAAGAAAAAGTTAGTGTCACGAGCGGGATTCGAACCAAAGAACTTCGGGTAAATACGCCGCTGCTCTAACCCCTTGAGCTATCGTGACTACGATCCTCTCGGTCACCAATTCTTTTCACAACCTTTCGAATTTTGCCTCTTTTTGCCATTTTTGTTCTGTTAATGTTAAAATGTTGGTGTGTGCTGTACAAGAGAATACTGTTTATTAAAATACGTAGGGTTATTATAATGGTATGGAATTTTATTGAAGAATTCTTTGGACTTCATGTAGTTGATATTAGATAATACAGAAGAATATTTATTATTTGTTATGCTTCTAATTTCATCTATTCGTTCTGGATTAAATATCATTATGTGGTTACTTAATGGGGAAGGTAAAAATTTAAAAATTGAAATATAATTTCTTTATACCAGTCATTAATTGTTTCAAGAAGTCTGAAATTAGTCCTTCTAGCTTTAGTCGAATATAAACAAAGTTTCGTAATTCTTAAATTCTTTTTAAAAAAATTCTATCGGAGATTCTTTAAGATACAGTCTAATTTGCATTATCTCTTCTTTAAGAATTTCATATGACCTTGAATCAGCGAAATTTTGTCTCAAATGTTTAATTAAAGTAAGTAAATGATGTATAACATGCGAAATCAGTGTATTTCTGGCACACTTCTAGTTTGCTTTTCGTTTTTATGAATAAAACATTGTGGTTGTAATCTCTTTCAATAATATTTTCTGCACACAATACGCTGTATGCAGTTTCTAAAATTTTACAAAAGAAGTTTGGAAGGGTTTCCAGAAGAAAGAAATTTGATTAGTCTTTTTTTTACGTGGTTCGCAATAGCAGATGTCATATAAACCGTCAGGGTGCAGGTTTTGAAAAAAAAAAAGAAAACATTTGTAAGTATGTCGGGTAAGAAGACCTTTACTTTACAGTGACGAGCGCCGTGTCAACGCCTAAACCGTTGCAGCCCTCTTGTTATTTTATAATTAATTTTCCAAAAATAAGATTTTGTTCATTCAAACACCATCGGATATTCTAGGATTAATTACCCGTATTATCTTTTCATTCTAAATTTATTCGTTTTGGTCATTTGATTCTAATTTTGTAATCGGTGAATGTTCTGGTGATCTACTTAGTAAGACTATTTTTAATCGACCACAACGGACTTTCACCAAATTAATTGCAATCTTTCATTTTCGAACAATCGTTCCATCGTTCGACACGTTGACCGTGCCTGGTAATTGAACAAAACTCGCCATTTTTCTCGTAATATCGGTGAAATGGACAAACGGTCTTAACGTGTGTTCCAAAGTCATTCATCAGGAATTTCTCTGTTAGACTGAAAAGATCCGGTTCGACGCCAAAACCGGCTCATCGTTCATCCGCGATCCACCGCCAGGGAGTTGCCTTACGTCCAACGCGTTCTTGGTCTCCGAATTTTCGTAAATCTAAGAAAAAGGACGTTGCCCGTATGGTCGAAGATGAATGAAAAGTCAAATAACAATGAGATGGGTTTAAAAGCCACCACGTAAACCTAACGGTGCCCGGGCCCTCCCTACTTTCCTGAGTCAGTGGTAGGAAAAAAGTCAGAAGGGTCAGTGCTCGACGTTGAACTCTATTAAACACTCATCGTTTCCATTATGCGTGTAAGTACAATCTTTCTTAAAAATTTAAAAAAAAAATCAAATTCTGTATAGTCGTTATAACATACTTTTGATAGTTTATTAGTTCACGATTCATCTCAAATGCATACGTGGTTAGTATGAGGCAAATCCTCTGACCTGAGGACTGAGTGAAAGCCACATTCCGTTTTACTTTCACGTGAGATTTTAAACAATAAACCAAAACAGCATGTGCTATTTATCGCGATATGATCTCATGGAACGATAAGTACTGTTTTTTTTAATGATGGTTGATGATAATATTGATAATATTTCAGGGGGTGCGTTTTGATGCAATTTCCAAATTTGTCCTAATATTCTATACCTTTCGTAAAATATTTAGTAGTTTACAATTATATTTATCAGTTCTGCACGTTTTAATTCTAAACTGTTCAAACTAACTCTAATTTTTCAATTATTTTCTATGGCCTAGTTTGAAGAACGCTTTTTGAATGAAGAATACTTTCTACTGGTCTCCTTTGTTGATCTTTTCAAAAATGTGTGACAGTCCCAAATAAACGAATGAGACTGCTGATAGAAATTTAAAGTTGTTTTATTTATTATTTTCATTCTTAGTTGAATTTGATATTAAAAATTAGGGGTATGTCCAGATGAAAAAGTTATTTAAAAATGTTTACAAATATAACTTACTGTTTCAAGCATAATAACACTAAGTAATGAATTTTCACATCAAAATTTAAATTTATACTTGAAACCTGTAAACCTTGTTACTTTGTGAAGATTCATTATAATTTCAGAGTCCTGGATAAAGAGTTGTATTTTTTAAAGCTCGACTATGAAATTGGGTGTTTTCTTTGATCTTGGTTTTATCCCTGTCATTTATAATCACAAGAACTATTTGGCTCAGAAATTTATGTCATAATCACAGGAAAATATATTACTGCAACATGTAAATAAAAGTAATTTCCATTATCAATAAGACCATTTCGGCTAAGAAATACGACATAATTATAGCAGAGGTGATAAATTATTCTGAAATTGTGAGATGCGGTCTGGTTGATGTAGGTTTCAGAAAACCATTTTCTTTATCGTGCCAACGTTTCGATCTTTATTGAGATCATCTTCAGGGCCTGGGATTTATAAACATTGTTTAAATTTAACAAATACATGTAGGATTCAACTCAAACACTTTTAGTGAGTAGAAACAACTCACAACATATTCAAACACAAATTTCAATTGGGTCCGCAAAGCCACGCTAACGTCAGAAACCTTTCGGTTAAATTAATATAATTAATATTAAGTGTCAAACACACGAATAGTTATCACTTCAGCAATTTCATGTAGAAAATAACGTTTTTTTGGTCAAAGTAATAAGTCTAATAGCGATTGAAATCTAACAAGGGCTTAAACCCTGTCATTTAATATAAGAAATTTATTACAATTAATTAAGGTTTTTAGTTGAGATGACAAAAAGTCAATGGCACGAGCGGGATTCGAACCCACGATCTTCGGCTTGATACGCCGCTGCTCTACCACTTGAGCTATCGTGACCTCGATCCACTCGGACATCAACTTCCCATCTCAACCCCACTTTTTTTTCATCTCAACTAAAAACCTTAATCAATTGTAATGATTTAATTGGTCAAGCGGACCACGAAATTAGTGAATTATAAGAATTTATTATTAAAGGCAAATCTGAATATGGTCTATGGTAAGAGAACAATAAAATAAAAATAAAAAATCTTTTTTAAAATTTTTATTATACAATTTAACATGCATTCGATCTTGTGACATATTTCAAGAGAGCAATTGAAAAATTTGAACGTTAACACACTGTAAAATTCTCATCACTGAAAAGCGTTTTTTACCCTAAATTGTTTTTTTTTTTTTTCAATTTACAAAAGGAAATTCGATGATTATGAAAATGCGAAAATATTTCCTTTTGAAAATTTAAATCAGACAGAAAAATCGTCGTTTTTACGCATTATGTTCGATAAATTAGCGAGGTTGTTAAATGTAATCTCATTTAAATTGATTAATGTTTTTCAGAATATGTTTATTTTTTTGAAATACTCATACCCATTGAGTGATATATTAAAAAAAAAATCCTGCTTTTCCGTCCGTACCACGGATGGTTAACACTTTGTGCAACACTGATTCAATGGTATTTGTGTATTCTTTATTATAGTGGGTTGAAGCTGTTCGTAACGCCATGTTTTTTAATGTAAAATAAACGACTATAAAAGCCGATTTAACCTGGTGGGATTATAGCGCTTCCATCTCATTTTCATTCGACATAGCTATAATAACATTAAAAGAACCACCAACCGTTTTGCTCTCCCAGCTTTTATCAATAATAAAATTAAGCACACTTTGTTCAAGAAATTAAATTGCGAAATTAAGCAGGAAAAGCTCTTCAAGTTGAAGTAATAAAAAAAAATCTGTAGGAGTTTAGAGCTATATGAAATGTACAAATCAAAAAAGGTTGTGTATTAACATTTTAAAACCCGTAAATCATAATAATTTCCTTTCATCTATAATGCCATACGAAACTTCTATAACTTTTTCTTTTTTGAACCGATTTAATATTTAATAATGTCAGTAATGTCAATTACAAATGGGATGAAATAAATGTGGGTTGTTCAGTTTGAACTGTAGAAAGAAAAGTTTAGTATTTTTGTAATTTGTAATTTATATATATATATATATATATATATATATATATATGTAACTTTAATGCCCTATGCCTATATTAGTCTCTCTGGATTGTCTAGTATATGGTCAGTCTGTTCCTGAGATGTCATAATCTTTTAATAATTAATTAATTAATACTCTTTAGTCATATGTAGTCTGAGGTATATATGACATATATTATCTGGGAGGTTTTCGATTGAAATAGTTTTAGGATAATTAATTAAGGTTTTTAGTTTACTTCGATCCTCCAATGTCGTGTAATCTATTTGAAAAATGGCAAAAAGGAGGGAAAATTCGAAAGGTGGGGTTGAGATGGGACGTTAGTGTCCGAGTTGATCGAAGTCACGATAGTATATTTTTTATTTTATTTTATTTTGATTGAATATATAAAATAAAATAAAAAATATAATTTGCATTGTATAAATTCACTTTTCCACATCTAAAATGTAATTGTTATATGTAAACAATGTTTGTAAATCCCAGGCCCTGAAGATGATCTCAATAAAGATCGAAACGTTGGCACGATAAAGAAAATGTTTTTCTGAAACCTACATCACACCAGACTGCATCTCACGATTTCTAAATAAATATCGATTAACGGTCCCTCATCACCACACACAGAGTGTTTGATTTTAGTTCGTTAATGTGATGCCATTACTAGCAAGGAAAGGATCAAGATCCAAGGTCAGCAAAAGAACATGTAGTATTATTGTTAGGAGCAATTAAATTTTTGGGTGTGTAATTGAAACTAGTAATGGACCTTGGGAGTTCACCTTCTTTAATGAGAATATTTAAAAAAATACAGCTTGGCAGTACCGATCTGTCAGATAGAATTCATCCTAGAATCACAATTTCGTGCAATAAGTCACACATTCTAATGTTATATTTTTGTTTTATATAAAAAAATGTATTTTTCGACATATCAAAATTTTCAAGATAGGCCAAATCATTTAGATTGTTTGTTGCTATTCGATTTTCCGTCCAAATGCCAGAATTATTTTATTTATTTTTTTACGAGGGTTCGCAACTGCAGAGGTTATATCAACCCTCAGGGTGGCGGTGTTTTTGAAAAAAAGTCCATTTGTAAGTATGTCGGGTTCGAATCAAGCAGCATTCGAACCCGGGACCTTCACCTTACAGTGATGAGCGCTGTGTCAACGCCCAAATCTCTGCGGCCACCGACGCCCCCCAAAATTATTTATTGTAGTATTAACTATTCTGGATTGGATCTGGTTTGATTCTAGAATTGTACATATTTGTTCCGAATGAGCTTATTTCTTATTTGTTCAATCGATTTTAAAAAAAAATACCGGATCAGTTGTTGCCACGTTGCTCTTGTATAAGTAGGACCAACTGGTAAAAGTACTAAAGATGTTATAATGATACGCCAGTTAAACTACAAAACCGTTGGGCGGATCGACTGGCAAACAAACACACAATACTAAGAAGAAAAGCCATACATCGGTCAGTTTTATAAATAAAACAACACATCAATTGAGAGCGAGCCTACGATTGAACACAGCATTTAGAATTTGCAATTATTTAGAAGAAATTTTTTTTGCAATTATTTACATCCAGCAGAACAATCAAACAAAATAAGACAAAGAACCGCACAAAGAATAAAATTAATAAATACAAAAAACATCTAAACAAACAAAATTTATTTAAATAAATAAAAACTTAATGAAAATAAGTGCAAGTTTACAGACCAACAATGTGGCAAATCAACGAAAAACAACATACAAATAAAAGAACAAACACACAAAAAAAACAGGGAAATTAACATAGCATACACAAATAATCAAACTGACAAAAATGAACAAAAAATAAAACAAACAAAAAACCCTAGTTGTATTATATAAAAATTAATTCAAATGATCTATGAATGAGATAATCAACTTAATGTATGTACATGCAAGGTAACGGACAAACAATGTGGTTTAGAAACGAAAAAAACAAGAGTAAAAGTAAAAACATACACGCAAAAAACCAGAGAAAATAACAATGGTATTCACAGATAATCAAACTGATAAAAATTAACAAAAAATAAAACGACAAAAATCCCTCACAACATGTAAAATTCCAATTAAATGAGATAAACATCTCAATGTATATACGTGCAACCTAGCAGAAAAAACATCTAAATTTACGTGAAAGCTAAGAGTCAAACCATGTGCTGTTTTAACAAAAAATAAACTTTCAAATAAAAAAGCAAGCACACACAAAAAGCAGAGAGACTAGCATACATCAACAGTCACATGGATAAAAATTAACAAAAAATAAAACAAATAAAAACCCTACCGGCATGTAATCAAACAAAAAATAAAATCAAATGAAATAAATATCTTAATGTAAATACGTGCAAGCTAACTTACAAACCATGTGGTGTGTTAACAAAAAACAAACACACACAAAAAACAGTGAGACCAACAATAGCATACACAAATAATCAAACTGACAAACAATTTCAACATCTGCTACCTCTCAAATACAAAACTATTAATTATTGTAAAAATAATAATTATAATTAATTAATTATTGTAAATTGATTGTAATATTCACTAGAAATATAAAATATAAATAAAAAATTGAAACAAAAATGATAAAAATGGTTCTTGGTTATGGCTGGTTAAGCTAATGAAAAAAATAACTAACAACTTGTAAACAACCAAAATTAAACACTCATTATAACAAAAAATGAACAAATCTACAAGCAAATAAAGAAAAAGTAGACAAACATGCAGACTAAGAAATAAATGAAACAACAAAACAAAATTGTACAATCTGCTATAAATGCTCGCAATAGAGCGATTATTTACTTTTGAATACTGGAAAATCTTCACATTAGTTTTCCAAGGATACATTTTATGAATACATAGATAAATTTAGGAGTTAGTAGAATGAATAGGTGTTTGACCTGGTCTTAATTATAATTTCAATGTCCTTGAAACCAGTGAATTAATAATTTTGAAGTCCTGATGAAGGGGAAATATTTATCGCAGGCCCAGCGATGGAACTTAGAAGAAAGACCGAAAGAACTTAGCCGCTTCTTTTCAAATGGGCCTTTCCCTGATTTTTCATATTCATTTGCTTATCAGAGCAAGTCCTGTCCTATTTCTCTTTCACTCGCTCGATATGAACAACAATTTTGTTAATTTGTGAGTTTTACTTAAAAAGTGAAAGTTGATTGGTTGGTAAGAAATCGTACATTACGTTCTTAAGCATCGTTAAAGGCTAATATTTCAGGGAACTGGAATTTGAAATTAATTCTTTTTTTAGGTGAATAGGCGAGGATGAAAACAGGCAGTTGGCTCATTATTTCAATTATTGGAAGCGCAGTTTTTGCTCAAACCAGTGGTTACACCAATAAGACCCAACCAAGAGGTAAGAAACTTGAACAATTTTAAACACATTTTAGAGTTCCATTTCTAAACTGTATCTCATGCCTCATTTGTTTAATGATTAAAATAATCTGTTTAAAAAAAGACTCATTTTATTTTAGACATTGTTACAAACGAAATCGACAATGGATGGCAAGATGACCCGTACATGGAAGAAACGAAGCAGACGTGCAACGCCGGCAGCATTTCAGGGTGCTTCGCATCGAAGACGATGTCATCTATGTCGGGCTTCTTCGACAGAGACTTGTACACAATTTCAAAGGAGGCACGGTTCGTCAGGACGTCCCCAATGAGCGAGAAGAAGATATCATTCGAAGGCATGGATTTCGCTCAGGAGCCTCGTTCAGGCGAGTCGCCCTGGGAGGCGGCAATCGGATTCCTCGCCAGAAGAGCGGAACACTTCATCAAGACAACAGCGTTAGAAGTGGAGCTGAATGATGAGATGACTGAACATGGAAAATACCAGCCGAGGTTCATCGACGAGATCTATTCGGAAATAGAACGGCTAGAAGATAAAAACGAAAAACCTGAAAGTAAGTTATTGAATAATTAACGTGGCTGGTTCAAGGGATCGGAAATTGAAGAGACTAGAATCTTGGGCGGCTTGGTTTTGGATAGTAAGGTTAGTGCCGTCGTAAGGAGCTTTGACAATTTGTCTTGGGTATTTTAATAGGAAGGATGGGCGTATGTGCAAAGTGGTCGCAGTATTGTTTTAGTAGAGATGGGTTTTAACAAAACAGATTTTTGCCCTAAAAGTATTCATGTCATGATGTGATTAATAGAAATAATCAAATTTAATCCCCAAATGAGTCCCAAATAGTGTCATAGTGCCATTCATTTATATACTTTAGTAAGTTAAGTTTTGTTGCACATAAGTAGGGTTTTTTTGGCTGTATTAGGAGAGGTTAGATTGAAATGCTTAGTGTATACATATTTTGCCACTTTTGCATACTTTCATCAAAGGAAGGCATACAAAAGTTAACCAAACTCTTAGGGTAAAATGAAATAAAACCTGATTTAAAAGAAAGCCATCTTAAATTCCTAACATGGATAAAAGTAAATGAGATTAAATTTAAAAAAATTAACATAGCCTACCAAATAAAAATAGCAAGATGAACATACGTTCGGCATTGGTTCGAATCCCGCTCGTGACAGTAACTTTTTCATTTCAACCAATACTTTACATAAAGATTAATTAATTTAAAGAAGTTGTTTGGTCAATCGGACCACGAAATATGAATGTAAGCTATTTTAAGTGACAAAATATAAAGATAATTACAATAAAAACTTTTTAACCTTTTTATGTTATTTCTCACTTTTATATTGTTAAGGGGAGCTAATTTATGCTTTTACATGTAGTTTTCGTGGTCTAAAATCTAGTAAACTATACTAATTCTTAGTACAATATTGTTTTAGTCTATTTTCCTATGGCGCCTGGTCAAAAAATATGTATGTCAATCAGTAGTTTATGCAATTATTATACGAGTGAGATTGGTACATGTGTGAGCTGAAATGTTTAAATGTATGTATTATTTATGAGTTGATCGCCAACCCTCTGCGCACTAATCGGAAATTTTTGTTACTTCCTTTCGCGTATCTTTCATCTCTCATATTTTGTCTCCTGTTTTCTTAGCTTGTTAACATTTAGATGGTACCTCAGATTGTAAAATTTTAAATTAATTCCTCTTTTTCTCGGTCTCACTGTGTATACCATTTATATTCCAACCAGAACATGTGTTTATCGATGTCTGGTATAAAATGTGAAGACAAGAATATGTATCGAGGTTATTTACATTGAAAAAGCAATCTTGGAACCAGGATTTTATCCAAGCAACCTCCAACATCCAAGAAAACCTTGAGCTTATCAAAGACCAAAAGTACAGTACAATACTAAATGAGGGAAATTGTACTCAGTATGCTTTTACACTGAAAAAACTAACGACTACTGTTCATCAACAACAAGTAGCTTCCGACTCTCGAGTGGAGATCCTTACCACTCTTCCTAGACACCATACTGATGTGAAACCCCCACGTACTAAAGAGGCAACTTAAAAAAAGACTTGGACTTCTTTGATTTCTGCCCCCACTCCATGTTCGATTATTTTCATAAATTTTATTCTTCCAAACATATCTTGCTATTTTTATGTGGTAGGGTATGTTAATTTTTTAAAATTTAATCTCATTTACTTTTATTCATATTAGGAATTTATTAGTTATTCATATCGTTTACAATAAAACAAATATATCATTATAGCAGTTGTAATACCGTGGACTTTGAATAAATTCCATAGGGATGTAAATTTTTAAGTGGAACACCGTACATTGTTTTACTACTTTGAAAATTCGTATTTAAGGGCTCCCTAGCTTCTCCTTATAAGCGATAAACAATTTTTTAAGAGATTGCTCATTTTAAACCTTTCATCGGTATAAAACTGTTGAAACCTTCTCTGTATGGTTTTTCTTAAAGATTCCTCAAAATTAAAGAATATGTGAAACACAAATTAAAAGGTCTTTCATGTATTTATTTTTATAAAATTTATTACTACTCCACATTTTGTTATTTTTATGTATAAAACACGAACATATCAAAGTTTAGTATTATTTGTGTGGGCATTCAGTGACCAGTCGTCTTGACTTTACAACACAAAACCCAATAATTAAATAAATTAATCGTATTACACTGTACATTTTTATCTCTGTTGGCAGTGGTACAAAATTTATTAAATCATAATTTTATAATAAAAAATGTCACAACACATATTGGTATCGATTAATCTGCGAGAGGAACTTAACTTTTGTTGGTACGTCTATTCTCGCTTGTTTTGTCACTTTGCGACCTTTCAGGAATAAGAAATTCTTGCATGAGTGCGAGGTAAAATTATTACAGTGATAGTTAAAGTGATTAGTGTTACATTAGTCCAATACGAATAAAACAAATGATTATGATTTAAATAACACTGGATCTTCATGAAAATTATATGTGAACTATTGTGGTCTGGTCTATCATGTTATGAACCTGTCGATCAGTTTTTGCCCATCATACAAATTTTCCAAAATAACATTACACGGCTCAAGAATTTTCAAGACTTTCATACAATTACAACGATAGCTACATAGTGCAATTACAATATTTTTTCTGTTATACATCACAATTTATATATAACAGAAAAAATATATACAAAGAAATAATATAATGCAATAGAGAAGGTTTTTCTTTATTATCAGTAAAAGTACAATTATGACAGAATTGGAAGTCTAGTTTACTCTTTAACTTAAAGAAATTCCTATCCTAGAAGAAGTCTTTGTGTCTAAAACCGTTGGGTGTCTTTGGCGAGGGGCAAAACAATTAATACGCAATAAAATTCCATTGGCTGTGCTAGGATTCGAACCCAGATGTGGCTAGGGTAGCAAAAATGAGTCGGAAGCCCTAACTCTGCCACCGCGGTTCCCTTGTTTACTCATTAGATTTTACTATTAATTTTTAACATGATTGCACTACAAATGTTGATATTTTTTAGAGAGATATGAAATAAAAAAGCTGTTCATCCCATTGCTTGTCATTCTGAAAATATTCAAACTGAAGCTGCTGTTTCTGTTACCCGTCCTGCTAGGGTTTGTCTCATTTAAAAAAGTCATCGGAATTCTGATTTTCCTCGTTCCTGGCATTATTGGGTATTTCAAGGTGAGTTGAAATAAGTTTAATTATTCCTTTAAGTAACTAAATCCTTTATAAGAAAAGAATTAATATATATGTTATAATAAATACATTACCCGTGCATGTAACTGTTTACAGCTTTGCAAACCGGACATAAACAGTTCATACGGCAATTTTGGGCATAGCAATTATTACCACAGGCCTCCATCAATCGGAGAAAAGTACGACCAAATAAATACCCACATGTTGTCATACAGAGAGCAGCAAGAAGCTATGAAACTGGCCTACCATGGATATAGAAACTGATTGTGCAGATTTTTTTTTTCATAGGGCATTAATAATTTATTTATGGTTTGATCATAAACTTGCGTATTGTTTTCAATTTCTTATATCGATGTGACTTTTTTCTGTAATTTTTCTTATTTAATGTTACCGTTTTGCAAATTTGCAGAGCTACAAAAATTATGATAACTGTCATTAAAGTTTTTGTGTTTATCAAAGTTATTTAAATAGTGTAAAAAAGTATTTCAATATTTCAACTTAACATATAAAATTGTATTTCCTGAGATGTGCCAACTGACAAATATTTATACTGAATATTACCAATGTCATGTACCTTGATTGTTTCTGGTGTATGTAAAGCAATGGAGTGTTAATTTTAGTTCTAAATTGAACGAGGTATGTTTTTACTTCAATTATTTATGTGATTGTATACCTTACATTTATATTTTTTTTTAATTTGCCTTAGATTATTTACAGGTATAGATAAAAAAAAGGTTTTTACTAGAATTATCATTTGTTCCAAGCTGTTAACCAATGCTCAATAAACATTTGACAGCCGATATCAAATGTATTTTTTATGGTTTAAGGTTTTCATAAACTGTAATAGTGTTTCCATTTTATATAAACCAAAATCACTTAGGTTTTAATACGATTTGTTATAATGATATTATTACCGTGATGTCCAACCTATAAAATCTATTGAAAACTTCCCGTAACAATAAGATAAAATCGGATAGGATCTTTGTTTCTGTTCTCAAATTCATGAAAAACAAGCAGATTATTGACTAAAAATCGAATCAGGACACACAAATATGTCCATACACGCGTGGACCGAGTTGAGCGTATAACTTCTTGCAGTCTTCCAGCAATTCAAGCTTTGTAATTTGCAATAAATAACAGGCAGGCCTCGAGAATCACCCACCCCGGTTGTTGGCAGTCCAGGGCTAGATCTTAGTCTTATCCGTCCAGCCTCTGAGGTTGAGCTCCAGCGACCACCAACAGCTAGGTTATTTCAGACCCCAGCCAAATCAGTTTCCAAACCAAACCCATTCACCATCACATTCAGCTAAAGTGGTGGAGTATTCGATATTCCTTCTTTACACCTATTATAACTAACCTAATCGAGGGTCCAATTGGTACTCAATATTACGCCTTCTGCCCTCTCACACTAAACACTCACGCCAATAAATACATTTATCTCTACACACGCTGGAGACATAAAACTATCAGTATTACATAAAACAGAACAAACTGCTTCTGGAAATAATCGGACCCCTGTACCGTGATCAAGCGTGATTATCGTCGGGTGGCATTCCTACACGCTCTCTATGTAGAGCAAGGGAATTGCATCGTTCAAAATGGTGGGGCGCATCGAGCAACCTTCTGTACATGTCGGAATCACACGCCGGTTGTCCATATGTCATCCTCGAATGGCCAATTCTTATTCGAGTTAAGATTATTTTTTTGCGGTCAGGTCTTCTGAATACACCTATCGACAGTGATCTTGATAAGCGAGAACTTCTCTGCCGATCCGAAAAACAAGTGTTCGTGTGTGAACCTATTTTTCAAGTGAGAATGACCCTAAACAAACAATATTTTTACGGTTAGTCATTTTTTAAAAATCAGCTCATAGTACAATTACCCATGGGATAACAAAGAAAGTCATAAAGAGTGAGGCAACCACCCACTTGTGGCGCTCCGTAAGTAGACAAAGCATCGTTAGTTTGGTTCAAATTTTTTCCCTTCCTAAGAATCGTTTTTGTGGGATCTTTAGGTTATCGTCTCTTTATTCTGCGGGTGGGTTTAGTTGCATATGGCGGGATGATAGGCTTTCAATTAACAGGTTTGTAGTGATAGAATAAATTGTGTACAGTATATAGTTACTCTATGGACATAGGGAACAATCAAATCTTTTTTTGTAGCTTTATTTAAAAAAAAGTGGAGTTCCAGGGATTTTTTAGAAGATGTTTGCCTGTTGGATTGAACCTCGTACTTCTAGTCGATACGCCTATATTGGTTTGAGTGTAGATTAGTTAAGTTTTTCGTCGATCGGTAGTTTTCCTTTGTCATTTAGTCGTGACCGACGTTTGTGATGTTTCGTTAGTTCTTGCTTAAGGCGTGTTTGTTGGTACCATCTCAGTCGTTTGAGTACATAGGTATCGCATTTTGTACGATATTGGAACGAAAACTTTATTGAAATGGAGGATTAATTTTTCTAACAACGGTCACAGTTATACAGAATTTCGATTTCAACGAAGACGGTAAATGGAAAGGGTATGGGCATAACTCTGAGTACCATATGGCTCCGGGATTCACCACCACTATCTTTCAAGCATAACCACTAACAATTAATTAAGGTTTTTAGTTGAGATGAAAAAAAGTTAATGGCACGAGAGGGATTCGAACCCACGACCTTCGGCTAGATACGCCGTTGCTCTCGACGACATTTGAAAAATGGCAAAAGGAGGGAAAACTCATAAGGTGGGGTTGAGATGGGGAGTTGATGTCCGAGTGGATCGAGGTCACGATAGCTCAGGTGGTAGAGCAGAAGCGCATCTAGCCGAAGGTCGTGGGTTCGAATCCCTCTCGTGCCATTAACTTTTTTTCATCTCAACTAAAAACCTTAATTAATTGTCTTGTATTAATTGGTCAAAGCGGACCACGAAAATAGTGAATAACTACTAACTTTAGAAACACGGCCACATTAAATAAACAAGCAAAATCAGAAGGGTTCACCCATAGTAATACTAATAGAGAGAGCTCTTAAAGCTTTTCAAACCTACGAGTTCAACTCAAAACTAGTCTGTAACAGCACAAATACCCAAGTGAAATTTGGGACCATAAATAGCTTAACGCTTAGGTAGGTTCCAGGTCATGAAGGTGTTTCAGCCATTAGGCGGCAGACACCCTTCCTAACAGGAAGTCTTGGAAAATACTGCGCCCTTTTGTTGCATAAACTATAGCTTACTTTTTAACTAACTAACTAATTGCTAAAAATAACAAAAATAGTGGGAACGCATTCCAGGAATCAGACAAGTAGAATGATTACAGGGGTTCTCTCTGAGAAGTGAAAAATGAAATCCTATTCAACAGAAAGGAATTTAATACCTCAATATGTACTTAATAGGTATATTTAGAGAACATTGTGCAGTGTAATCCTAGGGCATAATAGTACTTTCAAAAATATAACTATTACCAGATTACTAATGACTTTTATGTCTCGATGAGATATTGACAACAGAGCATATCATTTGTACCTGCTCTGCAACCTGCGAAAGCCTGAGCAATGACGACCTAGAAACAATACCTCTGAAAAAAATTGTATTTTATCAATCAATTAAGGTTTTTAGTTGAGATAAAAAAATTAATTGAAAGATATTAATTAGTCAAACGGACCACGAAAACTAGTGAATTTAATAAGTAAAAATGAAGTATACCTTCACTAAAGCTCTCGGTGGCCATTTCATTTGTCGCCGAGAATCAAATAGATTACACGACATTTGAAAAATGGCAAAAAGGAGGGAAAATTCAAAAGGTGGGGTTGAGAAGGGAAGTTGGTGTCCCAGTAGATGGAAGTCACGATAGCTCAAGTGGCAAAGTAGCGGCGTATCTAGCCGAACTTCGTGGGTTCGAATCCCGCTAGTAAAACTGACGTTTTTATCTCAACTAAAAACCTTAATTAATTGAAAGATATTAATTGGTCAAGCGGACCAAGAAAACTAGTGAACTGTATTTTATTAAAGAACCAATAAGGCGAAAGCGCTACGATTCTAAAGGCGTAAAAAAGTTACACAAAAAGGAAAAATAAACGAGAAAACTGATCAACTCTCTCTCCCTCTCTCCCTTTTTCCTTTTTCCTCCCTTCTCTCACTCACTCTCTTTCTCTTTCTGAATTAACGATATGTATAGAAATCATCGATCATCCTTTTTCACTTACTTCCTTTCTCTGCCTACCCTTTCTTTTCCATTATTCTTTGCATATTGGGTTGTTCATATTTTTTCAAAAAAAGGTTCAGGACCTAATTATGACTGGAAAATTAAAAACATTATCATATCATATCAATAATTCACTAACTCTTTCAATCAATCTTTCCTTACTCTCTCTCCGTCTTCCTCTTTCTCTTTCTCTCAATTAGCAATTCATTCAATATATTTACATGCTTGCAGTATTAGAGGCTTGGGTCTGTACGATATTTTTGGAGGTGAGTTATACCTGAAATATAAGATTTGAGTAAAGATTGAATTAGATACTGTGCTCCATTTTTTTTAGCTTTAATACCCATCATCATATCTTTGACCATTTTTGGAAAATCCTTTTAGATTGGATATCTTTCCTTGAAATGATGGTTAGTCAGCACTTTCAGTAGGTGCAGGCCATTAACTATTTGCCTAAAAAGGATCTAAAAAAATAATAATGCGTATAAATGGAAAAAAGAACAAAGTTTAATGGCTTTGCCATTTTTAAAACTAATTTAATCAACTACATTTCTTTACGTAGAAAATATTTATTTGCAAGTATAGAATTATGCTTGATTTGTGGCTCCCTCTGCACAATGTCAGAAGCAACAGTGTTGTACGTTTGCTTTCCGGCGAAACCAGCAGATGGGATGAACTACCAGCTTGTTCATTCTTCCTCGTTCCTACCCGGTACGCATTTATGTACTTGGTTTTTTAAAGTTTTGAAAAACCTTATTTAGATTTCTAAAATGAACAAAACAGCAGTATGAGTAGTCCGACGGGATAATTTTAAAAAGGTAAAAATTATATGTAAACAATGTTTGTAAATCCCAGTCCTTGAAGATGATCTCAATAAAAGATCGAAACGTTGGCACGATAAAAAAAATGTTTTTCTGAAACCTACATCACACCCGACCGCATCTCACGATATCTGAATAACTATCGATTAACGGTCACTAATCTCTACACATTCCCATTAAATTTATCCAATTAATTTACTTTTTGTGGGCAATTGACCAAGTTACTTCTTTCAATTAATTATTCTTTTTATGTAAGGTCTTGGTTGAGATGAAAAAGTCAGTGTCATGAGCAGGATTCCATCCCACGATTGATTCATCTCAACCAAGACCTTACATAAAAAGAGTAATTAATTGAAAGAAGTAACTTGGTCAATTGACCACCAAAACGTAAGTGTATTAATATTCAATAAGAAAAAGAAGTATCACTTCACTAAACAGGTTCGAATCTCGCTCATGACACTAACTTTTTCATCTCAACCAAGACCTTACATAAAACGAATTGAATTGAAACATTAAATATATTTCGGCCGCAAGAGTAGGCTTTGACACGGCGGTGTTCACTGTAGGGTAAAGGTCCAGGGTTCGAATACAGCAGCCCTACTTTGCATTTTAAAAACTCTGACTGACCATATGACCTCTGCTACTGCGAATCCTCGTTTAAAAAAGAAAAAACACTACAGATATATTTTTACTTTAACAGTTTAATTTTTAAAATCATTTAATATCTATTTAAGAATATTTATTGTTTATTCTTAGTTATTCTTAGTTCTATATAATTGTTTAAAATAATTATTGCATATTGT